GGCTCCTCCTTTTCCATCCCTCCAGGTCATTCATCCTAGCTTTCTCTGCCTTGAGGGACAAGACTGCATCCTTTTGGAATTCTTAATATGAATTCATTTTACTTGTCAACATATTCATCAACTCTCTCAAAGTACTCCATTAAATTTGAGAAGTATGGCTTTGCTTTAGAGGAAGTATGTTGATCATAAAATTACCCAGGGTAATTTTTATCCTTTATTTCACTAATTTTAGTCTTAGAAAAGCTGCTATTGTTTTCATCTATAGGGATATTAGGCTACACTGCATATAACTTTAGACTAGTGCTTTATACCTTAAAGCAAACAAGCAAACCAAAACACATGATCGGCATCACATTATCCATCTTAAGCCCTCTGCTACCACAGCAGTACGAAAGAGAACAAAGCACTTAGTTTCACTGTTTCAGCTTTGAGTTCCATCAGAGTTCTTGGGTGAAAAATACCTGGTTCTGACAATTTATTGCTCATTTTGTCTTTTTCATAATTTCTTTCCTCTGTGCCTAGTTTGAGTCATATCTTCTATTGAAGATGACAGGATCTCATGTGGGAACAACCTCTACGTCCTCCCTTGTTGACATATTCTAAAACTTGTCAGAGTTGGAGAAACATATTTCCTCCAATGTTAGTATGTATGGTAATCTCTGAATGAACTGTTTCAGACAATCATGAAGGATAGGCCTTTATAATATCTATCATCTTACACTTACCATTTTTCAAGCTTGCAACACCTAGAGACTGAGCTGAATGAAGTGTCAAACGAATGCCAGCATCTTGGATATAAGCCATGGTAGTCATAGGATAGATATTTGCTTGAAGAGGTAACTTGCTCATCGTCAGTCTGGGCTGGATCTGCAGTATGAACATGAACTTAAATAAAACACATTCTTTTTATGCATTTAAACTTTAAAGACCTTTTCAGACATTTATCCCATGTGCTTTAGAAGCAAAACCAGCACCAAAGCACTCACTTCACTGTATTATTTAGCTTTTCAGAGATTTGTGGCTAAAATTACCACTTTGGAAATCATAACCTCAATGTACTTTTAGTTTCACCAAGGGAACCTACAAAAAAGGAATAATCACAGCTAAAGAATGAGAGAAAATTTTCTCTCCTCTGGAGACCAAGCAGTGAATAGACTCAAGGTAGAAGAAAAATGAATTATTGGTTTGTAAAAGAGCTAGTGGAATTCTTGAATAGTACATGATAAATGAGTTCTAGTATTAAAATTATGTTCAAGTTTAAATATTCACTTTTCTGTCTCCAGAAAAATGCAGTTCTACACACTAACTGGAAAAAAGTAGTCTCTTATCCAGCAGGTATGGTTTTTAATCTATTTCCAAAACTATTTTTATCAAGGAAAGAAGATAAGTGAAAGAAAATTTTCTTTCTTTTTTATGTGCTGTTGAGTCCAAGATAAGAAAATAGTCACACTGTATTTCAGACAACACATTACTAATAGGAGAAGTTATTACATTTCAAAATACATCACTTATTTCCACTACAGCAGCATGCAGTTGTTTGCTAGGTCTGAGTTGGACCATATGCATATCTGGCATTGTGCTGCCCGAAGGCCTCTAATTAAACAGACAAAGCAGAGGCGAAAGAAGGCATGCAGATATACAAGCAGCTACATGGTAACTTGTCATAACTTGCTGTATTACAATTCTTACATTAAAAAGGATATAAAGGAATATTTAACAAAATTCCTGAAACAAAACAGTTGCTACTTTATCTCATCTAAATCAAATTTTATGACTACATTTTTAAAGCTTTCCTTTAAAATGATTAGTGGAGTTTAATGTGAGAGTTTGATTAAATTTGACTCAAACTCTTTACAATCAGAAGTATTAAGACAGCCAAAACCTGATACCCTAGACTTTTATAATTAATAGACTACAATTACCTGGTATCCATTAAGATCAGTATAGAATTTATTTTCACTGTTTATGTCAGATGAAATTCTCATTGCAAGCTCACGATTATATTCTCCTCTAATATCCACAATATTAGAAACTTCAACAGACTGGCCTTCCAAACCTACATAAAAAAGATGCGTTTAAAATCTCTCAATTTTAAAAAGTGATTGCCCCATATATAAGAATGACTGCGCTCCCAGGACACAGTGACCTAGTTTATCCCTGCTAGTTTTACTTTTCTATTGTATTTAACCAAATACTTGAAGCCGGTTCAATTATGTACCATATGATACAGCAGTACTTCTAATTCAGTACTCATGGAACAGAGTTTGAAACCTTCATCTAAGTAGAACAGAAGCTATTAATGATAATAACTAATGTGGGTTCCAGAAAATCAGTAGGAAACAGCACATAACTATTAAGTGCTGTCTTTAGCACTTAATACACTGGAGCAAGACCTAGTCATTTACTGCTCTTCCTGACTCTTACGTGGCACCTTTAATAATAACCTGACCATTTCAAACAGTGTGAGATACAGTTTGGACTGGAATCATGCCATCATTCAGCATAACCACTTCTACCCTTTCTGTAGTCTAATGGGACTAACAACTGTAGAAAGAATTCTGCCAAACAGAACAGATACGAAATACCTCTTTTTAGTGAGATTACAGATTACATTGTGCTCATCTGACAGATTGTAAGCACAAGATGATAGAAAGTAAGGGACTGATTAACCAATTTAGTTCTTTAAAACTTGACAGTATTTAAAAATCTTAGATAGCATTATTTTTATTTTTTTTCCCAAAAAAAAGTTCACTGTCTGTCAATTTACAAGACCCAGAGGCGTTGCACATCATTTTGGGTCCTGAACTATAGAATCTATTGCAGAAAGACAAAATACTTTTGAATAGTATTTCTAGATTCTGAAGCACATGGACAGAGGTTACAACTTCTTTTTTCGTTCTACACATACAGTTCTCAAATGATTTTAACAGTTCTGTTTGAGGACATGTTGGAAGAGTTTCCTTAAGGTCTTGTCTTTGCAGAAATCTGAACCAAACACTCTGAACTTTACACAATGGAATGCTGTGAGAGACTGAACTGAAATCAGACTTCACTGTCCATTGTCTCAAAGATTGGTATTAGAAGCTGAGATGGGATTCCACCATCCATTGGCTGAGAGAAGGGTTTGAGGAACTGAAATGGGACCCTCCACTAGAACATCCTCTATGGGGACACCACCTCCAACGACTACTACAGATGCCTGGGGACACCCATCTCCAATGACTACTAAGGACCCTTGGGGCCACTCTCCTCTGATGCAGACTATGGACCCTGGAGGACTCCCACCACCGAGGATGACGACTACGGACCCCTAGGACACTGCTGGATCCATGGTGGTGACTATCTCACTCTGCACCCTGAATTCTTGCTTCATTTCTATCTTTCTTTTCTGGTCTACCCTATCACTATCTCTTTTTTATAATAATTTTCTTTTTATAATAATTGATTTTTGTAATAAACAAACTGATGGATTATGGTACTTGACCTCATTTGCGTATTAATTTCACTCTTGGGATCACAAACGAAATAGGATCCTGTTATTATTTATGTAAAATGTACATAGTTTATGTTATTATCTATGTAAAATACAGTCCGGGTTGTGATTTTGTCAGCTAATCATTTTTAAAATCTGAATGCCAACTGCAGCAGTACCAGAAATTGTTAAAATGTTAACATTTACCAATGGCTATTATAATACAGTGCTAAAGGAAAAACATTCAATTCAAGTAATTATTTCTATTTTCTGAGACCTTATCTGGAAAACATGGATCTATATGTTTCACTTCTGATGCTCTTAGTCACAGATTTTCCAACTATTTTAAAGTAGGACTATTAAAGTGCAAAAACATTGATCAAGGATACAATATTTTAGTTCACAATTTTAAAACAACCAGACCATGACTTAATCACAGCTCTTTTCTACAACATAATATAAAAATTCAATTATGAAGATAATGAAACATACAAATCTTTTGATGAAAATATTAACAATCATTCTGATATCAAAATCAAGATGCCAATAGAAGCAGAAAAGGTTAGAAAGGTAAACTGCTGTACCAAGTTGTCAAGCCAGAGTATTTTCTGCTCAGAATCAACAGGATTCTAAAGCCAAAAGTGCAAAAGCAAAATTGCTGAAGAAGCTCTAAGACTTGTAAGTACTGTCCAACACCTGGATTAGCCACACAATCAAGCTTTCCACTCCCTGGCAAGAAGGTAGGTTACAATAGGAGTATCACATTTTTATTTAAAAACAAAATGTATGTGTACACAAACATATTTGTATTTCTCTCCACACACTTTGTACGTATCTAGTAAAACTTGTTTTAATTGAAGTAATACTATATAAACAACTTGTTACAAATCCCAGGAAGCATACCTCAGCAAAACAATGATGTAAAGTCATCCCTTTTAAACTTCGAAAAAGCTCATTTCAGAGAAAGAAATTAAAATAAAAACATACCATAAAGGTAAACAAAGAAAATATGTAAATAACTGCATCATTTTTCCTTGTAAAAGCTGAGAGCATGCTGCAGGGATTCACCATGACAACCATATAGATAATGGTTTAAGTATTGAAACAGTAAAGATGAACTAAAAATTGTCCAAAAAAGGGATGAAAAAACTCTAGATAGTGTACTCAAAATGAAAGTTAAACTCGTGTTAGGAATTGGTAAGCAGGTGATTTTCACTGACAACTCATTTTCTGTGAACTGTGAAATGGAAGTATAATACTTTTGGCATGCACTTACTAATGAATTAAAACAAGAAAACTGAGACTCCAAAGAAATCCATTTAAAACAAAACCAACCAATCTCACCCTAACCAAGAAGGGTTTTCTGGCTTTTTACTCCCCTTCACTACAGTAAACATCCTCCTTATATAAGTTCCCTCCCTGGTAAGAAGCTTAATTTATCAAAGCCCACATAGCAAAGTAACTTTCTTTTCATATTTTTGGCAACCTAGTGCATCTTGATGTCAAGGTACTTTTTATTCTGATTTAAGCACATTCTATATACTAGTCACATAAAAAAATATTTTTTTGAATATAAACATATTTCCTTCAGATCTTCAACAAGAAATTACTATACAACATCTTGGTTTGTATTCGTAAGGAATGTGATCTACAGTTTGATTCAGAACTACTGCATCAGTCAAGCTGGCAACTTAACTCTGATCAGTATATGGCATGTAAGTAAACTTAGGAACTTCAAACTTCCAAGAATGCACTTATGTAATAAAAAATGAGGTATCTGAATAAAAAAAAATTACAACTAAAAAAAAACCAAAACATGAGGTTTTGACTACAAAGACAAGGAAAAGAGCAAGGGAGACTTTCAAAGTACTTATAGCTCAATTACATGTATTTGAAGGTATTTAGAAAAATAATTAAATATTATAAATAATACTTTTAAAAACACACAGGCAATTTTGACACTACAGTGAAGTTAATGGTAATATAAAGCTTGCTTAAGTTTCTTCAAGTGTTGAAAATATTAAGCCAATGTTTCTGTATTTCAGAAAAATTCCAGTAAATACAAATAGATGAACAACTGAAAAATACATGTTTCCTACTTCAATTACAAAATGCTACCCTTCATTTATTTCAATTTTCGGGAAATTTTTTTCATATAATTGCACCGTGATTTCCTCCCTCTTTATCTAGCCAATTTAATCATCAAGTTTGGAAGGGTACAGTTTCTATAAAGTTACTGTTCTATAATTTTCTTGGAAATCAGTTGTTGAACAGTATAGAAACAAAAAAATGCAAACCTTATTGAAGGAAAAGTTACATTCATTTCAGTTCAGGAGTCAGTAAGCTAGCATTTAGTGCTGATTCTGTCTCAAGATCTTCCAAGCAGGTAACGGACATAAAGAGGAAGCTCACAGGTAACTAAAGCATGCCTACAGTTGTGGAGTAAACCGGACTTCACTATTAATGCCCTTAAGAAATATCTTTACATTCTTTGCAACTTCAGAGAAGACATTGTTGTACCTCCATTAGTAAGATTGAAGCTATAAAAGAAACTATGTTTTTACATCATCTTTGAGATATTTCTACATTTTTCTTGTCATTTTTATAATTTACAGCTACCTACAGCATTCAGATGATCCAGTAAAGTTCAGGACCCCCTTGCAGGTAAGAGCCAAGACTGTAGTGATGAAAAATAACTATCAAGACAGACAAAATATTGCAGTTCTTACCCTGGACTTTGTAGAGTCGCATGGTATGTGTCACATGGTGGAAAAAACATACAACTTCTGAGAAAATCCTTCCATGAGCAACTCTTATGGTAGGTGGGTCTGTAAAAATATAAGGCTATAAAAAAGAAAAAGAAAGTTGGAATAATTATGTTGAAAGCTTTGCATAAAAGTAATGCCAGTAAATTAAATTATTTAAAAATACAACCTGAAATTCAGCAACTTCTCTTCAAAGTGTTACTTTTCCTTCAGCTAAAATTAGGATAACCCTCATTACACATCTCACCAGTATTTTATGAAGATTAATAGATACAAGGCCTACAAACACATGTATTAATATTTGCAAACATCTGGATTGATCTTGCTTGCTAGCAAAATTATACTTGCTAACCAGTAATCAAATACTGTAGTTTTGTATCCTATGGCAAATGGTTTAAGTGTCTGTTTGGTTTGCTCATAGTCTGCTGCACCAGTGGTGCACACTGCGTGAGGAAAGATTCCTCTACACTGTCTTGTGGATCAGTTTGCATATCCTTTTGAAAGTAAAAGAGGAAGCTTTTTCTTCATCAAAACCAGCTACAGTTGCCATAGCAGCCACCTGGAATACAGGGTAGAGCTGGAAACCATTAAGCGTCCTCAAAAGGAATACTGGCTTCTTACTAATGTCTCTCAAAGACTAGAAGAAATTCCATCTATCCAAAGTCAAACCAAAGAGATGAAGAAAATTATTTTTCCTTGTAGTTACAGTATGAGTACCAGCTAAGCAAACAATGACTTTTTTTTGAAACAGTTGATCTCAAACTGAACAGTATACACTATATAGAAATACCTGGATGCCTACAAAGGTAAAAACAGGTTAAATATTAAGTGTGTACAAAGCCAAAACTGAAAATACAACACATGCAATTACTACTATAGGGCAACAACAATGAATAAGGACTTCACTGAAAAACCCGCCAAAAAAATACTCGAGAAACATGTTATTAGGAGTGCTCTAAACAGAAAGCTTTTAGAGGATGGCTGTCTTCCTCCTGTATGTACCAATATCAAAGGAGGACAGAGAATGCTTATTCTTCATCAGCAAGAAAATCAAAGATTAAATGTATCTTGAAGAAGAGAGGAAATAAAGATTACACACACACAGACAAAAGTCAGAGAAGAACAAGTACAGGTCCATATCATCCTATCTTCTTCTTCAAGCATGTAACTGTACACATAATCATGGAGAAGACATCATGAAATACTATAAAAAAAAGAAGAAACTGAAAGTGACTTTCAAAGCCTCTAAGTCTGTCTTTCTACTCACATATTTATTCCTAAAGCTTCAGACAGAACCCTGTTAAATAAAAGTTTTCCCAAGCTCCAAGAGGGAATTCTGCAGCTATCATCTACAGGAATACTTTGCACAGGAGTTTGGAAGAGGAATCAGTTGTTTACACTTTGGTAAGATGGGTTGTTTTAGGAAGAGAGGGATTTTCTACTGATGATATTACAGTAATGTTTTACCCAGATAATGTAACTGGAGCTATCCAGGACCAAACCAGCAAAATAGAGAGATGCTGGATGAGAGACAGAGGAATGAAAAATGCTGTGCAGTTACTTTAAAAAAAAAAAAAGTTACCTGGATTATATTTTTAAAACAACTACAACAAATAATAATGAAGGAACCCCATTCCATCAATCTTATTAGCATAAAACATGATGGTGACATTGTGTTGTGGTTTAAACCCCCTTATCATTATTATTATTGGTGGTAGCAGTAGTAGTTTTGTATTATACCTTAGTTACTGGACTGCTGTTATCTCAACCCATGGGATTTACATTCTTCCGATTCTCCTCCCCATCCCTCTGGGAGCGGAGGGGAAGAAAGGAGGGGTGAGCGAGCTGCTCTGTGGTTCTGAGTTACTGGCTGGGCTTAAACCACAACACATTGACAACAACTACCAAAACGCATCGTTCCCATAAGAGTAGGAAGCAGAAGTGAGATACATTTAATGGCTCTAAGGTTCTGGGATATTGGCACAAACACTAAGTTCACACACCAGAGTCTCCAAGCTGCTCATGCAGTCAGATCTGCTCCCCAGCTGAAGATATAGGGGAACTACATGGAAAGATGAGGTGATAGAAAAGAAAAGGAATTGCATGAGATTCAGCAGCCTGCTGTGGAAGATTCTGTTGAGCATGGAAAGCAGTATTTTCATAAACAGAACAACAGAACAATGGGTCAAAGAGTCCAGAAACTATTTTTCAGTACTCATATTCAAGAGAAATATTACAACCTCACCTTGACACAAGCACAGAGGGAGAGTGAGGTAGAAATTTTAAGGGAATACTTGGAGCAAAATAATACCCCATAGCTCCCAAGGATATCTTAAAATACTTGGCCTCAAACTGGGTGCCAGAGTGCTAAGGGGCACAGGATAACTGGAGAGATGCCTTCACTTGAAAGTTTACTGACATAGAAATGGGCATGGAATATTACAGCCCAAAGGCATGAAGCATGGGCAATAAGCCTTCCCCCTCATAGACAAGTGAAGCACTACTAACCATCTTAGTATGGCCTAGAAATTTCTGGCAGTGCAGCACACTCTGTTGGCATGGAAGTCAAATAAACTATGCCCAGAGGAAAGCTTTCTAACACAGACTGAATTGCTCTTGATATGCCTAAGGTTTTGAAAAGAAAACAAAAACAAAAACCACTAAAAACCAAACAAAAACCCCTAACACTCCCCCACCCCCCAAAAAAAACCAAACAAAAAACCCAACCCAAAAACCCCAAACTCAAGACAAAAGCTTCAACTTGCTTCTGAGTAACAGACTAGCCTTCATTTGGCAGCATCTGAGATTAGACTGGGCAGGAGGTGTGGGTGGGTCAAATACTATGAGTTCTCAAGAACTGTGTTAAAAGAATTATGTGGCCAGAAAAAGTTGTAATTTTAATACTTTTGTCTCCAAAAGCAACCCCACCAATATGCGGGCAGATTTTCAAATGACAGATGTGATGCTTAAGGAAAATACATAGTACCAAGAAAAGAACAGACACTTCAAGGGAGCTGATTCTTCAGCATGGAGAGCACCCTCCAGGTAATGGTGCCTGCATACTTGTCTTTTCCTGTTATCAGGCACTCAAAAACAGCGAAAGCACTAAAAGTAAGAATACTGTGCTTGAATGATGATCCTCTGTCCCTTCAAGAGAGAATATCTGAAGGTGGATACAGGGGGATACTCTGAATGGAGAGTCTCTTTCGGGCAGTGGAACATCCAAATCTCATTTACAAAAATGTGGAAGGGTACCATTATATTTTCCTTCAGTTTGAAGGCCAAGAATTTAGATAAACTCAGATACGTGTTCTTCTCCAAGGAACAGAGGCAACAGGTAATCCTAACAGATTAAAAAAGTGACTGTTGTGAAAAAAGTTTCCTGTAGCTAGTAGCAGCAGCTTCAGCTATGCAAGTCAGAGATCATCATCAGTGAAGGAAGTCCAACCATGGGGACAAAGTGTGAAGAGGAAAAAGGGAGAAAAGCTCTAGCACTAGAGATCCTGCAGAATAATAATAAAAGAAAAATGTCTTAATATTCTGTTAATACATAAGTACTTACAGCAACTAGTACACACATGCGTGCATAGACACAGCTGCCTGAGAAAGAATCACAATTTCCCAGTTAGCGTCTATCAAAAAAGTCCATTTTGATTCTGAAAAATTGAGTTGTAAAACAAGAAAATGAACTACTCACAGTGATCACACAAACATTTACCACCTGACTCTTTGGAAAAAAACTTTTATTGTCATCCCTATTGATACTGAAGATGGCTAATAAGTATGTCATCCCATACTGACTTGTCTTGAATACATATAAGAAAATATGGACATTTAACAATTTCAAAGTTTGTTAAAATGGATTATTTTTTTTTCCTCCTAGATCTAACAGATTTATGGAGTTGGCCACACTTCACAAAATCACAAGAGCTACAACCATATTTTCCCTTCATAGGCAGGATGCTTTTGTTTGTATTTGTTATAAGCTCCAGGGAAGTCCCTTCCTTTGAAACCTCATTAACATTGTCAATCTACTAAGTAGCACTGATGTTTTAAAAATTAAAATACTGCCTCTCTGTTCTAGTTTGCAGAACATAACAAAGACATAGTAGAAGCACTGCCTAAACTCTACAGCTGCTGCATGGAGCCTCTGTTCTGTAGCATTGTTCTGGACTTCACACTGGTGTCCTGACCTGAGACTGCCACTGAGCAACTTCCACACTTCAGAGACAGCAGGGACAGAATCACCCATGGTCAAGAGACAATTCTTACTGGGGGCTGTCTAGCTGCACCATGGCAATGTTTGCCAGTAAAACAAAGAGTTACTGTTATTCAGTGTACCTTCTATTTAATACTGTGCAAATCACTGCCATTAACTCAGGTCTCTGTTGATGTCCAACTCAGTGCTGGTGTTAGTGGCTTACCTCTTCTTAGCAAGAAAGCACTCCTTGCAGTAGTCAAGGCTGGTTTGAGGCCAGCCATGAAGATGATTAATCCAAGGAACCTCTTGAAAGACTCAGATCCTAGTACATTCTTGCACACAAACCGTCATCATCAGAAAACATGACACACACCTGTAACAGCCTACTGATGACTACAGCTGCGCTGTATGTGTCAAGTATTCTAAACTGACATGGCTTTAAGTCATGGCCTGCAAACCCAGCATGTTACAGCACCACATTTCCAAAAAAACTGGCAGAAGAACCCAAGACCAAGACCAAAAGTACCATAGTAAGACTATTAAACTAGATGAAGAAAACCAATTTCCGAATATTGCAGAACTACAAAGAAATGAACAAAAAGACTTACAGGTGACAAAACAACCAGAGGCAAAGAATACATATAACTGTACTTACACCAGTGGAAAATGACCCAACATGAAACACAATTATTCTTTGCAAATTTTGCTGCAATAAATGGGATAAGGAGAATACAAAAAAATCCCACCTAGCCAAAACTCAAGGAAACAGCCTGTAATCAATCCTCCCACAAGTCCACACAAGGACTTAGAAAATGTTAGTCAATCACCTCGCACATGGAACCCTGAACAGATGGCATTTCTTTTAAGACAGAAATCATTAGTTCAAACAGTTTTAGAAAACTACTAGATAGAATTACACTGTTATTCCCAGTGAAACAAGCTAATTAATGTTATTAAAATAAGGCAAATCAGCCTTATGGTATATTAGTGAAGCAGAATTTTTAGATGTATGATTTCATTTTTATTGTATAAAAAGTTAAAAAAGCTGAAAAGATCGTCCTTTCTAATGTTAAATAAAAATGTAGTTTAATTTCAGTATTCATAAAAGTTCAATATGTATCTGATTTTTTATCTGTGCTTGCAAGCTTGTGAGATACTTTTTCTGTTCAAACAATAGCATTTTGCTACCTAGATTTGACCAGATTATTTTTATAAAGCAAATAATTCAAAAGCATAGTTAAAATAAAAAATTTTGATTTAGTGATTATTATTTTTATAAGTAAAAGATGAAGTGGCATCTAAAATAAAATTAAAGTACAACAATGCAGCTCATGAAAGGTAAAAATTAAAAGACATAACTGACATTGTTCAAGAATTCACAGATCAAAACCACTGACATGTAGAAGTTAAAATAAGTGAACCTTGTTGAGCATAAGTGATGCAAACATTTAAAGGACTAAATACACTAAATGGTTTTAAACTGCCAACTCACAAACCTCAAAACATGTGCCTCTAGGAGACACTGCTAAAGAAAAGGAAATTGTTCTGTTCACTTCCAGAATCATTTACATATATAACAACAACAACAAAAATAGAATTATTACCCTTTCTTATTTCCTTAAGTGGCAAACATAGACTCCTAGTTTGCCTCCTGCATGCAACTTAAGTTTCCCAAGGAGAAACTGGGCAAAAGAAATATACTGCAAACTAGCTAGTTTCCTAAAATTATTCAGTATTTCATCACTTGTTTTCTGAAATATGACTCTTCCAGTTCCAGAAGTGGTACAGTAGAGTCCATATGGTAATTAGGTTAGTTTAAGAACACAGTCATATCTGAATTTCTTGAAAACTAACTGAATTATGCTGTTGCCCTCCAATAGTTATGCAGCTAAAAATACTGATAACTCTAACCAACTAAATTGGAACAGTTGCTTACAACTCTGTCTTTACATTTATTGTAATTGAGACTCAGTATTTTAATGACTGTAGCAAACTACATTTGACAGTATCCGCTAAAAAAGTGCTACACTGTGAATTGGAACCTCCTCATTCACAAATTAAAGAAATCTTACGAATCAGAAAAGTGAAGAAATGCAGAAATGAATCAGTATGTCCTATACATTTTCTCCAGAGCAAGTGAAAGAACTTATTTTATTGATAGTGAATGGTCACATCTCACTGGATTTCTTGCAGGTGCAGCATCTTACTTTTGTTTTTTTGGTGAATCATAAATGTTCTGTATATTTTCAAATTAATTAAGTATGAAGTTCCATCAATCATTTCAATAAATGATATCATTATTTCTAGCCACACAGCTCTGTTTAGTTGTTGGGTAAATTAGCTCTTCCAATCTTTATGAATGCTTGAACTTAGTCCAAGATTAGAATCTCTCTTCAAATGGAAGATTTACCTTGGCATCTCCATCTGGTAAGAAGAGATAAGCTCCACTTTTATCCCGGTTACTTGTAGTTCCATACCAAGCAAACTCCAGCTTCATTTGATGATTTTTACCATCTTCTTTGGTATTTATTTTCTAAGGATAGAGAATCATGTTTGAAATAGTTGACATATTTAGGATTCCACAAATAAAACCAGAAGTTCTTAAAAAAGTGAACCATAGCGTTTTGAAATATAACACACCTCCAGTAATCCAGACATTCCAGAAAACCACAGTTTCATGTAAGCATTTTCCAAGATTATATTATCCACAGAATTCTGCATGTCTTTTATCTTGAAAAGTCTGTCTGGCTTCTCCTGTCTACTATTCCTCAGATATATATTATAGTCTGCTAAAACTGCTTCTGAACTCTGATGCTCCAAAAGCTGGTAAACTCCAAGCCCCAGAGGTGGTAGATGCGCCACAAAAGAGACCTGTTGGGAGAAAATAAGAAGGCATTATTAAAAATATCAAAGTATCAACTTTTTATACTAAATTCATGCTCAGCATAACTCCTTTTGCTTTGGTAATTTTAGGATGGCTGAATTTTTCCCATATTCCATAAATGAATATGAAATTATAAGTGACATTCTAAAATGAACAGCTGAAGTGTGTTAAGAAAAATTAGCAAACAAAAATGTCTGCATTGCTAATTTCCTTAGCATCAAGACCACTGTTGTATTAATGCAGTAACAGTTTTGAAGCTTTTTTAAAAAGAATGTTAGCCATGATGCACAGTGTGCATTGAAGATGCATGTATAGTGTATCAAGTGCACACAGACCCTACTTTACCATTCAAGTTGTGTTTAAAAATCCACAATATTAAATAGCAAAATATAAGACAACTGTCTCAATTTTAGTCTTTGGTTATTTAGGAGCTATAATTGCAGAGAAAGAACAGTTATATAAAAGGTAAATCTCCAAAGCAATCTGCTTAAAATTTGAGGTACAGATATGTGATTTTATTTCTTCTTCAGGGAACTGAGTTAATTACTGTACTGGTTTTGGCTGAGATAAGACTTACATTTTTTCACAGTAGCTCATATGGTGTGATGTTTTAATATCAACACTGTGTTAGCTATCACTGAGCATTGCTTATGAAGCATCAAGGCCTTTTCTGCTCCTCAACTCATCCAAACCAGTGAGTAGGCTGGGGGTACACAAGAAGCTGGAAAGGTACACAGGCAGAACAGCTGACCCAAGGGATATCCCATACCATATGGCATCATGCTCAGCATATAAAGCTGGGGGAGGGGAAGGAACAGGGGAGATGTTTGGAGTGATGGCGTTTGTCTTCCAAGTAACTGTTAGACATGATGAAGCCCTGCTTTCCTGGAGATGGCTGAACTCCTGCCTGACCATGGGAAGTGGTGAATGAATTCCTTTTTTTGCTTTGCTTGTGTGTGTGGTTTTTCATTTACTTGTGAAACTGTCTTCACCTTAACCCATGAACTGTCTTTATCTCAACCCATACGTTTTCTCACTTCCAACTCTCTCCTCCATCCCACTGGGGGCAGTGAGTGAGCAGCTGTGTGGGGCTGAGCTGCTGGCCAGGGTTAAACCACAATAATTATCCCTTTGGAAGATAACTGGGAGACATTTGCTGAATTGTCTTTGCAGGAATATTATCCTGAAACATGTCCAACTTGGCTCACAGGTCAAAATCAATCAGACTTGAGAATGTAAGCCCGAAAGTAATACAGTGCTATTACAGTAGTACAGTACTATATATCACTAAGAATTTAAAGTATAGTTTCTGATATGTGATCATTGAGAACAATCTTCTAAACTGATGTAGGATTCAAAAATTCTCAGAAGCTTTGTTTATAACCAAAACCAAGAGAAACTGTCTGTCTACCGTGAGTACAGGAGTAATGGAGATTACTATCCAGCCTCTATATCTGGAAAACAATATGAAAAAAACGAAAACCAACCCACCAATCCACCAATAAACAAAAAAACCCAAAGCACTAAACCAAATGCCAAAAACACCCAGAATCTAACTGCTTAAGCCATTGCACTTAGAAAACCTTCCAGCTGGAGTGATTAAGCACATATGGACTGTGTATAGCTGTGTGTATAGACTATCACCTGAAGGAAAAAGCTTTCTAAAATTAGGGGAAAAAGACACACATCCAATATTTTCTCTTCACACAGCTCAAAGTGATCTTTAAATGTAAAGCTCTTAACTTATTAAACTTCTGTGATGTATGTAAGAAACAATGCTAAATATGTATGTTTCTTTTTTCCTCAAAATGACTAAATGGCATCATCTGCAGAAGACAAAATTGCCAGTATTTGTAACATGCTTTCCATTTTCTTCAATTGTGAAACTATAGTGTCTGTCAAAAAATCCAACTTTAATGGTTTTTACTTAAAGTAGCATACCTGATATGCCTCATGTGATACTGTAGTTGCTCCATCCCAGACAGCACTAATCTGGACAGTAACAGGTTTTCCCAAAGGAGATAATAATTTAACTCTGGGTGAATTCACATTGACTGAAACCACTGAAAATCGGTCTTGTTCCATAGGATTATATATCAAAAGGTATCTGCAAAAACATATTTGACAAATTACCTTTTGGCAAACAAATTTCCTCCTTCAGCTTTAATATTTCTTCACATAAATTTTACATACAGAGCATTAAAACAAGGTTAGAACAAGTACATACCACAACAAATAAATATGCAAAACATAACCAGGAAACAATGGATATTTAACACCAATTCTTGGCAGATCTTCTTTTCTTAATGCTGTAATTTTTCCCAGCTATTTTGAAAATCCCTTATGATAAAAATATACGTATTTCTCATCTTAATTACTAAAGAATTGCTATTAACAAATGCAAGCACAATCAAGATATTTAAGGGCATTTTGAATTTATTTTTTAGGCTGAACTATTACATTCTTATCCACAGTTGTCTTCCCTTTAACATAATACAGAAACACTGAAGTAATGAACAATACCTGTTGTACACACATAGAATCATAGAATGGTTTGGGTTAGAATGGACCTTAAAAGATCATCTAGTTCCAACTTCTCTGCCATGGGCACATACATGATATATATTCTTTAAAGTAACTAATTCTCTCTGCTATAAGGGAAAATTCAAAATTATTTAAATTATATTTTACCAGAATTCCATATGGCAAGTTTCTGCATGTACACTGAAATATTTTTATTAGGTATGTATGGAATAACTAACTTTTATGTAGTCTTATGTGTGTTTTCCCCTTGGAACACAGATAATGTTACTAACCAAAAGAATCAGCCCCGAAACCAAATAGAGAAATGTTATTAGCCAACAAGTTTTGTTTGGTTTTGGGCTTTTTTGTTGTTGGATTTGTTTTGGGTTTTGTTACGTTTTTTCTTTCGTTTTGTTTTTAATTACAGGTTCATATATTGTGAGGTGTAGAAAAATAAAATTATACTAAAACATTTGTTCCTCATGTATCCATACAGCACTATCGTACTTCTTGTCTCTTCATCGACAAGCTGAAAGAATGCACTACTTAAAGCTGTTCCCTCATGGTTGCCTCTGTTCATTTCACCCTTTAAAAAGAATTGTCCTTAACAGTGAAAAATGTTCTTGCCAAAACTTCTAATAACTTTTTAGATACACAGCTGAACTAATATTCTGCCATCAATTTCCTTGACCCTTGCCACTGTAAAACAGTTTACTCCTTCATGAAATCTGTCTTTCATCAGTTTCCATGATACTCATTTCTTCTTATGAAATCACACCTCCAGCATTTCTTCTAAGTAGATTCTCTTCATTCTCTGCTCTATTTTTTACTCAGATTCCTCAGGAGTTTGTCAGTGGTTTTCTTTCCTTTTTTTTCACATCTTAACCTTCAAAATTAAATTACCACCTTCACAGATCCAACCACTTCACTTACAATTGTCCCCTTCCACCCAAACTAGAAAACTCATTCTGTCACTCAGTTCTTTCACATACACATCACCTGTAGCTTAAATCTCTTTCCATAATCTCACTTTCTGACTGTTAGCCTTCCAGGTTCCTTACTCATGCACTTAAATGCCCGATGCTCCATTATTTGCTAGCCTAGCACTACAGTACAACTAAGGTCCTGCTAACGAGTTACTTACCTAGCTAAGCCCTTTAATCTTTTCTCTTTTCCAACACAGCTCTAAGCTGACTGAGGGTAGCCATTGTCTACACACGTGCCAGAGAAGAGTGAAGTCTCTGTGGTATACAGTCAGGCAGGCAGTGGACAAAACTGCTGATATGATACTTTCGAAATAATTAAACAGCAACATTTCAGGGTTGAGAGGCAGCAGCAAACTGCTTAGTTAATAAGAAAGCACAAATTTAATTCCTCCTTATTGTAAGAGAGAGGACTTCTATACAATTTTAGTGCAAAGCCAGAGACTAAGTTAATCCACCACTAAAACCATGAAGGCAATACAGAAACATAAGGAAAATTTTTTCTTTTTCTCCATACTGCTGAAAAATATCACTTACTCTCTTTCCAACCCATCCTTTGATTTTTTTGCAACAATAGTTTTAACAAATGCAGTTTTATTCTATGGACACTCAGAATCTTTATGAATACTAACCAGGCTACAGTTTTCCCCTTATATTTTCATTGGCTCATTTCATTTTTGTTCTGCATCAAACTTAGGCTGTTCATCTTCAATTTTATAATTCACTGCTACCCTTTTACCTCATAATCAGTAGGAAAGGTCAATTCCAACTTCTCATTAGTTAAATAAACTAAAATCAGAGGCTGTATTAGCTTTTTTCTACAAGAACCTTTGGATTGCCTGCTTGCATACAGCGCGCTACTCATAAAAATTATTTTCCTTTTGACTCCTTGGAGGGAGATTCCTGTGCTGAAGTATTGTTAAATCGTGAATTCTGTGCATAACAACTATTCTCCTTCCATATTTGTGCATCTATCAGTGATCAGTTTCCTCCTAGCACAGCAAAAATCACTTTGGGATGCTCCTTTTTTGCCTCGTTTCATGTTGAAGACTCCAAAATTACTAGACAACACAATAGTAAACCATATTCTTGGTCAGCTTTTGGAATCTTTAACAAGACTATGTGCAAGACTATGTGACAGCCTCCCCTGGACTTGGGTAGGTCATTTTACATTTCTGCTTAACTGAAGAGGCCTTCTTTGTAGGTAAAACTTTAACTTAAATATTAACGTATTTTCTTATAGCAGTTATGGAATCAAAACCAAACTAAACCAACACTGCTCCCACTCCAGACCCCTTAAAAAGTAGGAAAAAAAAAATAAATTAGTGAAATACTCTAAGAACTCATATACTGTGTAAGAACTGTGCCAGAAACAATACAGATCTACAAGATGATCCAACACAAAGCTCAGAAAAAATCATCACTCAAAATCTTTAATTTAATCTTTCTATGAAGTAGAATTCCTCAATTCTTACGCCTCCAACTAAAATGCTGGCCAATACATACAATCCATTTCCAGTAATGCTATACATCCTCCTTAAATTTAAATTGTCTGCCAAATAAAGAACATATTACTGTAAAAATATTTCCAGAAACTTTGTTCACCTTCCCATTGATATAAGCATGTCTCACAACTTCAGTCACATGACAAATTTACCCATGACAAAAGACCCTAGGAACGCCATATCATCTCTATATTTTACCAGACTATATATTTTTTTTAAATATTCAATAAAACAAAGCTCTTGTGGTATTGAGGTACATATATTTTATACTTCTTGAGTCAAGGTATTATAGGTATGTAAACTACTAATGCAGTCAGATGAAGCTAGTAATGACAGGCCAGATTCCTGAATTGCAGGAATTTTGCATAGATCACAGTAGTTTGCTTTCAAATTTTAGTGCAGCAGGATTAAAGTATTTATACTTAAGACACAATGCTGGTGCATATACAAAAGCACTGACTAACTAATTAAATCACATCACTTCTGAAGCACTATTCAACTCCCACCCTTAAATAAAATACTATAACTATTTTAAATTTTATATGAAGCAGAAAAGCTATACTTCACTTAAGCTGTTTCATTACAATGAATGATATCCACAAATGCAGAGTAAAACTGCTTAATGTATTGTGGTTACATAACAGAGAGAAGCAACTTGAGAGTACTTAAAGGTTTTCTATTCCAGATTTTAAGGCAAAAACATGAATATTGCTGTCTTTCAGAAGCAGTAATCAATTTTTCTTTCATTACTCAGATCACTGGGCTTAGGCAACAGCACAAAGAAAACTACGAAAGCTGACATTTTTTGTCAAAATAAATAGGGAGGAGTTTTAATGCTTACTGGTAAAACTCAGATGAATAGTTACCTGAAATATTTTACTTTAGAAACCCCATTATGGACAAGTCTCAGCTATCATTTCTGTCATTCATGAAAGAAATCAAAGAATTCTGAAACTGTTTTAATATAAACTGTGCTGAAACAAAAGGAAATAATATAACTACAGACAAACCACATCCAACGTACTCACACAGAGACCACATATTCCACCTGTGCACTAGGAACAGGAGTAAACTGCTCTCAGCCCCACAAACAAATAAGAAACACGTGCAGATTTGAGCTCTTGTAACTCTGATGTGCAAAAGTTTGCAATTTCAGAAAAGAAAATCCTGTCACCAGTTTTCCAGACACTCTTAGAAAGATATACCTTGATTGTTTTTACCCCATACTTTTCTGGGTCTTTGAAACCCCAAACAAGTATCTTTTATTCATACAAGCATGATCATTTTTCCTATATAAACAACCATATGTTATTAATAAACCCTTCTATTAGACATGTACCTCCAAGCATCAAAGAATCTTTCCTGTAGTTAAGATTTAACTATCTATGAAGCACTTTCAGCCAGAGCTGAAAAAAGATCCCCTTCCCCATTCTTACTGCAAATACTTTCTTTCTTATTGTAAATCTTGTTTCTTAAACTGAAAAGTTACCAGTATTTCAGACCACTGTTCTTTTTGTTTTGCTAATGCACATATACATATGGACATACATACATATTCATGCATACACGCATTCACTGGTAACACCGGCAGCATAATTACCATTTTCTTCTAAAAGCTCATTCAATATTGCCTTCACAAGCAATCCATTCAAGTAATGTGAGAAATCAGAAGCAGAAAATGTCAGATGATCATCACTGACAAAGGATTATTCAGAAAACCACTTCTTCAAGATACTCACATTCACAACAGCTTCGGACAACAACTTTAATTGCCCAGTAGAAGATCTTTGCTAAAGTTTGCTTTGAGAACCAATTTCTCAAGGCATTCCAGCTCAGACTGATCAATTTTACTAGAAACTGACAAGCCTTCATAGACTAGAGTATTTTCCATTGTAACTCACGAGAAGCAGTCCTCTGGACATATGCACAATTTCATTATTGTTACAGGATGTTACAGAAACAGCACCTTTGGTGCTGGTTATTTTTTTCCCCTCTTATACTATAGAGGCTAAGCTAAAAAAACAGTTAAGTGGTGAAAAAAGCAAAACTGCTACAAGTACAGCCAAAATTGAGAAATCATACAAACCATGAAGTCAAATGATACACTATGTCAGCAGGCTTCCACTGAAGAATGAAAAAGAACAAACAGAAGCATGAAAGCTCTCCTGAAATGTGAAAGAGCTGGGAGAGAGTTAAAGAGAGGGGAAAATCATGAATAGACTTATAATGAAAATGCTTGAATTCTTAAAGAAAATGAATTGAAATAACACTACACATGTTAAAAATCGCTAGAAGGACTGGTGAGTTGGAAACCAGAATTCAACTAGAAAGGTTTCCTGAGATCTTGGCAGTTGATGGACTTTGATGGACTAAACTGTTAGAATTCTTAACGAAACTTAAATTCTCTAAACAAAGTCATCTCCATGAGATGATGAAACAATAAAAACTCTCCAGACATCACATGGGGGGCCAGGACAGAACAAGAACTGTTCCATATCTGAAAATATGCAAGAATAAATTACTCTGAAAGATGTGAGAGGAGTCAGTAGCTAGTAAAATTGTTTAGTTAGTAAACACTGATGCATATGAGATTGAAACAAACTGGGAATTAGTGTAAAACAAGCTTTTGGTAGCTGTCAAAAGTATCATTAAAAAAAAAAAACCAAACCAAAAAAAAAAACAACTATGTGACTTCTGCTGTATGTTGGAAGTGTAACAATAAAACACCCACCCAACAAACAAAAGAAAAGCCCAAGAAAGCCAAAATCCTGAAGTATTCCATGAATTGACATTACACAGGCCAAGGGGGGTTCATGGAGATACTGATAAATGGAACAAAGAGAACTAAGACTACCTACTTAAAACAGACACTTACTTGCACATTGCAAATATATACAACCTCCCTTGAAGACTTCCATGATTCTTGCATTGAAGCCCAAGAAAACATGGAATAGACACTTATTTTCTTTAATTTTTTAATACAGAATAAACCTGAAAATAACTGCATGACAAAAATTTCTTGCATTGCTTAGAAAGGATTCCCCTTGCTATAGCGGGCCATGGGAAAAATATTTGAACAGAAACTAACCGTAAGAATTCCTTTTTCTTAAGAAAAACTGCTAAATATTACTCCAAACACTAGGTATAAAAGTTCTATCATGTTAACTTTTTGTTTTGTTCAAAGCTCTTATGCTCTCTCATATTGGAAGTGAAGGCCTCCTTAGGCAAAAGTATGATTCAAGTGACATTTTAAGTACAGATCCCCTCATCCACTTTTTTCCACACTTGGTCGTATGCATTTCTGCCATGAATTACTGAAGATGGAAAGAGTCTACAAAATAACTATTATGAAAACAAATGCCATATAAGTGCACATATACAACTTCAAGGGTCCTTTAATCAACCTTTTTTTTTTAAAAAAAAAAAGAGGATATCATCTGATCATCATATGGTCATGCTACTTCTCTGGGTCTAAAAAAAATGACACATTTTCCAATATTTCAAGCCATATTCTTAATATTCCTTTAGGAACAAGACTAATCAAAAGCCAAATAAATACGCAAGCTTATAATCATGACATTGACAGCAGATTAATTTTTTTCTAGAAGTCAAAAAACTCCTAGATAACATCGTTTTGGTGAAGACTTCATAACTCTGAGTACAGCACACTATTTCAGCTGTATCCTACACAGAACATTTGTATTTAAATCATCCAAAAGCAAAATTACTTCTGACACCATACAAGTAACTCTCTCAATCTGATCTTCAGTAATGCATAGTGCTTTTCTGCTGCTTCTATTTGGTTAGTCCCCACATTTTTCCATGTGGTGCGGAACACTTCCACTTGCCTACTTCATTTAATCCTTTGACTATGAAATATTTGCTCCAGCTTACTAAGACAGTCTTAAATTCTAATTCTACATAGAATGTTTGTACCCAGTATGACTTCAAATTTTAGAATCTTTTTACATGCTACTCTGTTAGCATGACTGATACAAACAAAATACAATTTGTGATTTATAATCTGAATTTCTTGCTTGGTTTTGGCCTCACCTTGCACAAAAAGCCTCCAATTGCTCAGATGGATATCTAAGGATAAGTTGAATAGTAATGATACCCAAAATTTATCAGTGAGCATTTAAGTAACAGTTAGGCAATCAGCAAGTCTATTAACTGAGTGAAGGTAGTACTGGTGAAAATGCATTTACAACAAACTGACTAAAAATTAAATGAAGTTGTGGAATTAAAACATGATGCCAAGACTGTTTTTTGCTTTCCACTTTTAAAGAAAGGGGATCAGACCTACTTGAATATTCCTGTTTGGGTTAGTGGGGAGCTTTTTAAATATAAGCTGCACATTATGAAAAGGAACTTTCACAGAAAGCTATGCAAAGTTAAGCTCAGAGCACAAAATGGAAGTACAGTGAAAGTGTGGTTTAAACTGCACCAACAGATCTAGTTCTATTACAACACTTAGTTTCAATAATCACTACAGCTTTAATATACACCTCCTCTGAGATACAATAGATGCTGAAACTATTGCTTTCATAGTGTCCTTAAAATCCTAAACATTTAATTAAACAGAAAAATCCTTTGTGAGGAAAACCTTACAATTAAAAAGCCGTAGTCTCAGAAATACCGTCAGATGTAAACATGAAATTTGGGGCAGTTCAAGGTAAGAAAACAGTTCTCAAGAAACAGTCAGAAAAAAAGCAAGTTCTCACCAAAAGGAGATCCTGATACCTTCCCAAGGGGCTTTCCATGGACTGGATAAAGTCTACAGAGTTTTTTCAGTATATAAGATAAATAATGCTAATATGGTCCTCTGCATCACATCCAGCTGAGCTTCATGTAAATTTATCAATATTGTCACAGGAGTAATATAAACACAAAAAAACCCAGTTTATATCTATAACTATAATCAATATTAATCTTGACTATTATTATGTATGAATAAATATTAAGATTTTTGCCTCTTCCTAAACAAGAAATCCTTTCCAGGTTACGAAAGAAGAATCCTGTAGAAGAATTAGTAGGAATCTAATCTCAACTTGAAACTTCAAGCACACAGTATGTATTTGTGTTGCTTTCATAATTATAAAAACTAAGGTATAAACAAAATCTATTATCCACAGATCAGCTTTTCATTATAACATCAAACTTGTAACACCAAGAAATAAAAAAAGAGGTACTATCAATAAATAAATTCACAAGAATTCAATAGAGTTTCAACTAACAAAATAGAATAACGCTATGATTGTAACAGCTTTTGAAGAGGAAGTTAAATGTGTAGTTTAGAAATAGAGCTATATTTTTTAAATTACATATTCTTTCTAAAAGCAGTTATGGCTAACATTTCTTATTAACATACAAACAATTCAAAACAAATACTGTGTTTAAAAAAGGTTCCATTATCTTAGTTTGACATTTCAGAATTCTGAGTCACTGCAGGAACACCCTTCCTAATGACAAACCCAAATCAAACTTTAGATTCATTAGTGAAGGTGAGAAAATTCAGGACACACATTCCTATCAAATCGATTTCTATAACTGTACAGATATATCTTTATAATATTAATTGCTCATACAAAAGGCAGACAATTAGGCAGATGGCA